GGGTCTCTGATCTGCTCTGGTACCCTGGGGGTTAAACTGTGGAAATGAAGCCTTCCTATGGTATAAAGCAAGATGCTAGTCTAAGCACTAATGTTGCATTTTCCCAGTGCTGTGGGACCACTATTGAAGCAAAACTATTAAAAACCAGCATGACAAAGACTTTCCTGATTTCCAGTAAGCTTTATAGTTTCAGTGCAGCTATATGGACCTCAAATAGCTCGATGTAAAGTTAATTTTAAAGGCAGCCTTCCAGCTCCTGTGACTTTTTGGAGATCTGGTGGGGCAAATGTGTATTCCATATCTTAATTTGAATATATTTCTCCTTTAATTAAATGTCTTTGTGCCCTGCATGAGCAAAGTCATCCACGGCAATTAACTTTAAGAGACATGCATGCTTCTCCAGTTCTCCTCACGCATTTATAAATGTGGGAAAGTGTAATGAAGGGAATGGGAGCTGAGGAGAATGCTTTCAATTATATGCCTCACATAAGCCAGTAATTGAGATTAAATGAGGAGGGTTTTGAATATCAATTAACTTCCAATTAGGTAGGAGCATTTATTGTTCTTGGATTAGTTATGTGCTTCTGGCTTGGGGTTAATTACTAGACAATCACATTTATTCCCTCAGTCTTTTAAATGGTATTATGTGATTGTTTTTACAACTGTTACAGTGTAATTAAATGATGTCTATAAAGTTGCATCCCTTCCTGAAATATTGGCCAGCATTTTTAAGCGTGCGCAGTTAAGTACCTAAGCGAAGCTTGGAAGATCCCTCTGTGTCCCTTCAGAGTACAAGGCATCCTGACTGCGCGAATGCCCTCTGCGGTGATCTTAAAATGGAGCTTGAGCAGTTTATATGAAGGGGATTATACACCACGGCTGTCTGCAATAGCTGGGGGCTGGACTCTGTGACCCAGGACCTCCCCTGTAGAATTGTGCCCCCATGATGGCACTTAATATTCATGTTAAATAGACACCCAGGTATTTTTACAGCATAGCTTATGGTTTGGTGAATCATTTGAAGTCAGTCCGATTATCCACTCGTCACCTTGTCTCCGTTTTCGCCAGCAGGACATCTATGTTTGCTACCGTAAGGTCTCACTGGCTCTCTTCTAGCCCAGGCGCTATGCCACCTATTAGCAGCCTTTCATAGGAGCAGGACGTTGGCTGCTGTGGTCCCCCTGCTTTACCTGTGACAGGTTAGGGTCAGTAGCGGCCTTAGGGGAGGGCAAACCAGGTGACCGCCACGCTTAGGGGGCCCAAATTTTTGTGGGGGTGAAGTTTTTGCAAGGAAGTGGCTCTATTTCCGTTTTAACACTTGACTATTTATCTAATTCCCCCAAAGAATATTAAAAAGACCCATGATATAATTGTGGTGGGTTAATATTTACCTGAGTACATACCTCTAAGGGGCCCCAAATGACTCTCTTGCCCAGGACCCCAACAACCCTAAGGTCACCACTGTTGGGGTCTTGTGTCTTGTGTTGTGGGTTGATGGCAGTTTTTCGAACAGTTTAGGTTGTATGGGATGGTTTGGATAGGCGTGATCCTACCTCAGGAGGAGGTTTGAGCTAGATGAGCTCTGGAGGTCCCTTTCCAGCCTGACTTCTTTGAGTCTGTGATTGTACAATTCCACAAAATGAAGTGAAGCCCCTTTGACCAAGGCTTTGTTTGAGCCCTTTTTTCACAAAGCATCTCTCACCCTGAATCACTGATACTCGGGTGCTTTTACTGAGAGTACGGGCAAACCATCAACTTGCAACAAGTTACAAAGGGGCAAGGATTTACTGCATGGCATCTGATGGTTAGTACCTGTCCATGTGTACCTGCTTACAGTGCTTGCCTCACAAGAGGGAGAAGTTCACCATGACCTTCCTCAACGCTGCCTCCTTACTCTCCTTAAAACCCTCTTGACAACAGTTAATCTGTCATTGTGCCATGATTCAGTGTAAGTGCAAACAGGTGGACAGTTACCATGTTAAGCCAAGTCAAGGCACCCTTACCCTGTTTTATGCACTGGTTTAGCTTTCCCTGGCAGTCAGACGGACGGACAGACTGTGCATCGGCTTGCAGCCAGTTGATCATTTGTTCATCCCCTTGGTCCCTGAGGGCAAGCTGAGAGGGTAGTTCACCTCTCTTTTTAGTTAGGTTCCTGGGATGCAGAGTGTAAAATACCCTTGGTGTAGCCGAGTGTATGCAGGGCTTGCTTTGCATAAGATGCCCACACAATTCCTCAGAGCGAGCCAATGATGATTAAATATCTGTGCAGGACCGATACCACGTAGGGCAGGTCTACCCCAGTGGTACTAGAGAGCTCAGTCTCATTGCTAAGGCAGTAACTTCCACATCTCACCCCCACTCCATACATATCCACCAGGGAATGAGGCAGTGAGGAAGACCCCTGGCACTATGTTCAAGACCCAGTTTTCCAGTGTGCATAAGAGCAGCAACTTGGGGTTGCCTCAACAGCAGGACTGATAAAGACATCCCCTAAAAGAAGTGCATGGAGGACTGTGATGGGCATGGGTTAATGGGCACTCTGCTAGGAATCGCCTGTCCTGGGGTTGGGGCCAGATTGGGGTTCTTCATTAAAGCAACTCCTCTTCCTCTTATTTTGCTGAGGGCCTGGTCCTGCTCCACCTATCAGATGCCTTTCCAGCCTGCTTGGATCCCTGAAGAAATCTTAACCTTTTTGCTAGCATCTTAGCTTTACATCCAAGGCAAAAAAGCAGTGAGCATGAGGACTCGTCCACTTTATGCATTAACCATTTTTTCAGAGATCTGAGCATAGGGAGCATAGGGTCTCACTTACATGCTTAAATCCCCTAAGGCACCTACTAGGTGGCCCTCCATGTCTCCTGTAGGCTCTTGTTGTGAACCTTATTCCCCATTTGTGGTCTCGGTGATGCACTCAGGCTGCAACTCAGTGCATGAATGAAGGGCCAAGAGCCTGGGCCATGAATCCCCAATTGGCCACGTGTTTAGAGGTAAGGCTGGAAGCTTGCATGAGAGAGGAGATAGGAAAAGAGTCCCCTCGTCCCCATGGGAAGGAGTAGGGAGCCTTCCCACACTAAGTGCATGAGATTCAAGACAGAGCCTAGCAAGGAAAGATGTGGAATGTGCAACAGAGTGGGTCACTTCAGGGGACAGCAGGGATGAGAAGATGGTAGCAAATGAGACAATTCTTGTCTCGTCTCTCTGCTCAAAGTGCTATTGGTGAAAATCTTTCCAATAGACGCCGGGTGGAGAACACCACCACTTTCAGACAGGCCAGAAAATGGCTTCTCGGTCAGTCCTGTGGATGTGAACGGCCAACTCACATGTCTACGCTCTGAGGGTCTGTATATTGTCCAGGTCCAATCTAATAATAGCAGGTGCCCATGCACAGCTCCTGCTCCAAATATTTGCTTTGCTTGAATGCTAAATGAATTGCCTCTTTCTCCACTGACTTTGGAATATTGTAAACCTATTCTGAACTCTTCAGCAGGGCAGAGCTGTCTCTCTAAAACTTTCAGGTACCTGAAATGTAGGCACAATGAGGTGTTCTGAGGCTGTTCCTACAGGAAATGTGGTAGCATTTTCTGCTTATGGGCCTTGTTGGACAACCTGAAGTCATTCAGGGCATGTCTTTTTTTACCTGGCCAGATAAATAATAGCCTTCAGGCTTCAAACCTAGTCTCTCTTACAGTTCTTTGGCCTGACTTCCACAAAGTCCTCCCTTCTCCATGGAAAAGAAACAAGGTGGCATTAGTAAATGCTTGGCTCCAGGGCTGTCTAGCTGGTCACGTCCTGCCCAGGAGCTACTCCTCCCATCACTTCTGCTGCTGCGGTGGCTGGGATCTCTGGGCTCCCATTCCCACTTCCAGTATCTGCTTTCTGCCCCTATCCCTCGGGGGTAAGGCAGTGGGGCCTGAGGGGGCCACAGCACGTAGCTCCTCTGAAGTTGCACAGTCCTGAATTACTCTGTGTTTCACAGCTGTGGCCTATGGAGCAAGAAAATGCCTCCAGACCAAAGACTCCACACAGGTTTTTCAGACAGACAGATCCGTAGACACTTGGCAAACTATGGCCCAAGTGTAATTCTCCACAAAACCCACACAGTCTCTCTGAAGTTCAGATGTGACTGCAGAGGTGCAAAAGCTGGATGTACTTTATATTCTCTCCCAAAGTGGGTAGGTACTTTCCTTGCTTTACACAGAGGAAACTGAGACTCCAGGTTGCCCAACATCATTCGGGAAGTTAGAGGCAGGGCCTGTTTCCTGACTCCAAGTCATGTGTGCTACTCACTAGACACACCATGTCTTGACATGTATATATGACACACCAAAAGCTTTGAGGAAAGCATACTCAGGTTGCAAAATCAAGCACTCAAAAGGTAGGAGATGCTAGCATTAAGATTACTTGTGCAACCTTAATCCTGTCCCCTTCTGCAGATGAATTATGATTCAGTCTTTTATTACTTTATCTCATGCTACTTATTTCATAGGATCCGAGACTCATTAAGTCCCCAGGAGGGATGGTGCTCAGGGGGAATAAAGCTGTTGTCTTGTAGAGACTTGATGGGAAAGAGATACAGACCTGGATGTCACCCATGTGCTGCTGACACTGAAGACCTCAGCTTCTCACTGGCTTCTCTAGTAGTCTAGGAAAGGGTAACAAAAGCAAACCCTGGGGAGCTCACGTGTAAGTGTGCTCATGGAAGGGGCCACCAAAGAGCCTACATATGTGCTCCTGCAAGGTCATTCAATCAGATCTCTTGGTCAACATTTTCAAATGCCCTAATGAAGTCAGGATGGATACACCAGCATCCACCTCTAGCAAGGGACAATCAGCTATGGATGATAGCACCATCTTTGTACTGAGAAAAAAGTTACCTGCGAAGATCAACATTGACTTTGCAAACCAACATCATGGAAAGACAAATTAGCTTGGTGGCCTGTTAACTCACAGCATCCCTCTTACAAGATTATTGATTGTATCAGCAGCTAAATCATACTTACCCTGGTTTTATGTCAGGAGGTTCTGGTAATGGTTTCAGGAAGCCTTGTTTCCCAACTAGCCAAAATGTGTCTTCTATCCCTTTGCCCTAAGAAGAAAAGACATCTGTAACATTCAGAATTTGAGAGCCATTTCTTACACACTGGTACCTCATACATCATTCTCCAAGATCTGCATGTGCATTGGAAGGCAGAGTTTTTGTTTTTGAGCAACATATAGTTGAATTGAGAAGAGGGCTTTTGCACTGAGTTTGAGTTCCTTGCACTAAAAGATCATATGTTGCTCAGCACTGCTGTAGAAGAATGGACCTAATTAAAGCCCTAAATAAGGCCAGTTAGTCTTACCTCGATCCTGGGGAAGCTTTTTGAGAGAATTATCATAGCGTATGTCCATGAGGGGCCAGCAGGGGAGGTTATGCTTAGGGGCAACCAACACGGGTTCATTAGAGGCAGGTCCTGTCAGACCAACCTGGTGGCCTTCTACGACCAGGTCACAAAATCCTTAGACACAGGGGTAGCAGTGGACGTAGTCTGTCTGGACTTCAGGAAGGCCTTCAACACTGTCTCTCACCCCATTCTCATTAAAAAATTAGAGGACTGTGGCGTCAACACCGACACAGTCAGATGGGTCGCTAACTGGCTGGAGGGCTGCACCCAGAGGGTGGTGGTGGACAGGTCATTCTCGACCTGGAGGGATGTGGGCAGTGGGGTCCCCCAGGGCTCGGTCCTCAGGCCTGCACTGTTCAACATCTTCATCAGCGACTTGGACGAGGGGGTAAAAAGCACCTTGTTCAAATTCACAGATGACACTAAGATGTGGGGGGAAATGGAGACGCTAGAAGGGAGGAATAGGCTGCAATCAGACCTAGACAGGTTACAGGGGTGGGCGGATGAGAACAGGATGGGTTTCAACACTGACAAGTGCAAGGTGCTGCACCTGGGGAGGAAGAACCAGCAGCACACCTACAGGCTGGGGAACTCCCTTCTCGTCAGTGCGGAGGCAGAAAAGGATCTTGGAGTCATTATTGATGTCAAAATGAACATGGGCCGACAGTGTGGGGACGCGGTCAGGAAGGCCAACCCTACCTTGTGCATCTACAGATGCATCACAAGCAGGTCCAAGGAGGTGATCCTCCCCCTCTATGAGGCACTGGTCAGGCTGCAGTTGGATTACTGCATCCAGTTCTGGGCGCCGCACTTCAGGAGGGATGTGGACAGCATGGAGAGGGTCCAGAGGAGGCCACCCGCATGATCAGGGGAGAGCAGGGCAGGCCCTATGAGGAGAGGCTAAGGGGCCTGAACCTGTTCAGCCTCCACAAGAGAAGGCTGAGAGGGGATCTAGTGGCCTATTACAAACTAGTCAGGGGGGACCAGCAGGCACTGGGGGAGTCCCTGTTCCCCCGAGCACTACCAGGAGTGACTAGAAATCACGGTCACCAGCTGGCAGAGGGTAGATTCAGGCTAGACATCAGGAGGCGCTGCTTCACAGTCAGGGCGGCTAGGACCTGGAACCAACTTCCAAGGGACATGGTGCTGGCTCCTACCCTGGGGGTCTTTAACAGGAGACTGGATGAACACCTTGCCGGGGTCGTTTGAAACTATGAAACCATGAAAGCAATTCACTCAAAACTATTAGGCCTGTGCAAAGCAGCTAGTATCGGCTTCGGATTCGACTGATTCAGGGGACAGTGATTCGATTTGGTGATTCAAATCACTGTCCTGACTCAATTCGGCCGAATCTGCTTTGGAGATTCATAGATTCATAGATGCTAGGGTCCGAAGGGACCTCAACAGATCGAGTCTGACCCCCTGCCTAGGCAGGAAAGAGGGCTGGGGC